TTTACTAACAGTTCGCCAAAAAAAAGAAAAGAAATGTTTTTAAAATAAAGAATAACATTAGATTACGAATCAAATACATCTTTATTTATTACCTTTTCTAAAAATCATACTTTGTTGTTTTAAATTAATGTAATTGATTCATTTAGAAATTTTATCACTAGATTATGAAACTTAAGAAATTATATGTACATTATCGAGAGCTTTTAGATTTAACGAACTAATGATTAATAAAGGTTATTTAATTTCACAAAATTTTGCAATTTTCTATTTTTACTTATTTTATTATTTATAAAATTTTTATTATATTTATGATTACTTTATTACCTTCTATTATTTATAATTATTTTTTTTTAACATTAGCAATTGATAAAATGTGTAGCTTTATACTTTGTACCACTAAAATCTTTTAGTTTTAAAGCTACAATAAGTATCAAAATAACGTGCAATAAATAAGCTTTAATAAATAGGTAGATGCATGAAAAAAACTTTAAACTAGCATTTTTTAAATAATTGTTAGCTTAAATAATCTGAAAAAAAATTTTCATTGCAATTTTAAAAGAAACTGCTTTTTCAATTTTTCTCTTCCTTTTTTGTTATGATTCCTCTTCTTTTTTTTCGCAATTGCAAACTTATACATTTTAAAAATTGTAAGTTATTTTCTCAAAAAAACATTATTTTCTTCTCTTTTATAATATTTTTTATAATGAATTACAATTCGCAACACAAACAATGCAGTATTTATTTCTCAAATTTAATAATTTATCTCTTTTTAGAAAATGGTATTTCAATCGTTGTGTTATTGGGAAAAAATTCTCTGCAATTAATTTTTTGCCTTTTATTACCCTCTTACATTAAACTCAACTCAGAAGACAAGGATGCCAAGTAGTCGTACTTTTTTTAAGAATTTCATGCTCGAGTTATTAGTTACACAATTTCACTGTCGTCGTTCTAACCATAAGAGCAGTTCGCGATTTTTTTATATCACTAATTTGTTTTCAAAGTTTAACGCGTTACAAATATTTTTAATACTTTCAATTAAACACATTTTCAATTTCAAAATATCCTCAATTGTTTTTATATTTGATGCTGGATTTTAGTTTTTTGCCTTATAATTTACCATTGTGTANGGCAGTTCGTGATTTTTTTTATATCACAAATTCGTTTTTAAAGTTTAACTCGTTACAAGTATTTTTAATACTTTCAATTAAACACATTTTCAATTTCAAAATATTCTCAATTGTTTTTATATTTGATGCTGGATTTTAATTTTTTGCCTTATAATTTACCATTGTGTATGTAAATAAATTTTGAAGAAGTAATTCGGAAAAATATTTGTTTAAAGTGCCACATTAATTTGTAAGAGACTTTTCGAATTAGAATTAATTGCATCAATGAGGATAACTTAAAATATTAATTAAATAATACCAAAAAATGATTAGTATAATAATGACCAATGAATACAGGTAAAACAGAATATATTAGTTAATATTTAAGAATTAATAATACTTAGCAAATTATTAATACTTAGCTAATATTTAAAAAAAATCTCAAAACAGAGAAAACAATTATGCTTGATTTTTTCTCTCCCTAAAATTTGTAATACTAACAATAAGTATTTTCAAAAGTTCAAATGTCAGACAACAGTTTAAGAAATAACTAAAAAGTTTTCTTTAGTCTAGAATTTTTTTAGTACAATTTTTAAACAAAATCTTTAAAACAACGTGATTTTAGAAATTTTTTAATGTTTATTTTAACAATTTTTTTCTTAAAATATTACATAATTTTTAAAAAACAAATTTTCGAGTGTATTTCGATGTTATAATTATAAGACTAGAAATATAAATAATTTTTTCTTGGAATATTGAGAACAGGAAAATTAAGGAAATAAATAATAAAAAAAGCTTTCTTAATTATGCATCTAAATTTATCAGCAACTTTAAAACAATTAATTCAAAGACAGTTTTATTAAAAAAGTGTTCTTTCTTTATATTCCGGTCTTTTTATTACGCTCTTATATGGAATCCAACTCAGAAGACAAGGGTACCAAGTCGAGAGAACTTTTAGTTATACATTTCAATTGCTGTAGGTTTAGCCATAAGGATTATTCGTGATTTTATTTTATTACAAATTCGTGTTAGTAGTTTAATTCGATGCAAATATCAACTAGTTTTCATTGCACACATTTTTAATAACAAAATTCTCTCAATTGTTTTTCTGATTGACGCAGGATATTTTTTTCTTATGATTTACCATTCTGTATATAAATGAATTATGCTAAAGCAATTCAAAAGAAATTCTCTCTTTTTACACGTCGCAAAAATTCGAAAAAAGCTTTTTGAAGTAGAATTAATCGCATACATTAAGATAATTTAAAGTATTACTTGAATAAAAACATAATAACGCTAGTTTAATAATAACAAATAAATATAAGTGAATATCTTTAGAATAACTTAGCTGATACTTAATGGAGAATCTCAAAACAGAAAAGAAAATAATGCTTAAGTTTTTTTTCCACCCTAAAACTTATTACTTACCATTTTATTAAAGGAGTAATTATTTTAAAAAGATCAAATGTCAAACAGAAGATTAAGAAATAACTCTAAAACGCTTTTCTTATTCAATTGCTTTTTTAATGCTATTTCTAAAAAAAAAAAATTTAAAAAAGGTGATTTTAGAATTTTTTTAATCTTAATCTTAACAAATTTTATTCCTAAAAATAATAGATAATTTTTCAAAAAATAAATTGTCGAATATATTTTGGCATTATAGATAGATATAAGAGTAAAAATATCTTTTTGTCTTAGAAAATAAAAGATGAAATTTTCGCATTTAAAGTATGAACAGAAAAATAAAAAAAATAATAAAAATGTTTCTTAATTATGCATCTAAATTTAACTGCAACTTAATAATAATTCAAAAACGATTATATCGAAAAAATTTCCGCTCTTCATATTCCATGCTTTTTATTACCCACTTATATTCTACCCAACTCAAAAGACAAGTGAAAATAAATGAAATTATGCTTCTTAATTATGCATCTAAACTAATCAACTACTTTATAAAAATTACAAAACCGATCATATTCTAAAAGCTTCAGTTCTTTCAAATCTCTGATAGAAAATTGCATAGCGGATTAAAAATAAGCATACAATTTATAGTAATTCTTATTTAAATTTTATACGATTTAGTTATAGTAATCTTTTTTATTTATTTGGCACTAATCTCAGTCATAACTCACCAATTTTTTAAAGAAAAAAATTCCATTTTTTTCTACAAATATTTTGAAAATATTACGAGGTAATTAGAATAAAAGTTAATAAAAACACGGCAATAATTATACTAAACATATTATGGCTGAGAATACACAAAAATTTGGAACAGAAAAAAATTTCACGCTTTTTTTAAAGTTGTGCAAGATAATTATAGATTTTATTATAAGTTCTACTAGAAACCAAAACTAATTATTTAATCCATTTATTATATGAAATAATAAATTTGTGAGAGAAAAAATTATCTCTGAAATATATTCATAAATATCTAGGTAAACGATTATAAAAAATCATGAAATATCTGGGTAAAAATTATCTTTGAAATCGGAAATCTAATTTAATCCCAGCGTTAAACGCATCCTATTCGAACGTTCGAATCGCTTTCACCAGCAAATTGTTAGGTGAAAGCTTTCCGATAGATGGGAGGAAAAATGAAGATCGCAGCCCGTTAGCAAAATCCGTTCGAAAGCGCGAGGTTTCAGGTTTTCCCTAAGAGTAGAAACGTGACGCCAAAATGACGTCATTTTTCACTTCCTAGCTCGTTTGAAGGCTACGAGTTTAGAGCTCCTGAACCAGAGCACGATCAATCTCCCATCCAGTTTCTCCAGAGGTATTGACTTGTTATGGGAACTCGGAGGACTTTGTGACTCCAAGAGATCTAGCGTGCACCAGTCCACATTTTGAACACGGGGAATCTTCAGCCGGTGGAGATCGAACTCATGGAGATTGGCCGTAACGTATCAAGCTATATTGAGAAGCAGTTCCTTGTTTTATTTAAAAAAAAACACTTATTTCACTCCACAAATACAGTAACGACATTAAATTACCCGTAACTGGTTAATAATAATATTTCAAAAAAATATAGAAAATCCCGTAACGGGTTAAAATAAACTTACAAAAAAACATAGAAACACCCGTAACTAGTTAGTATGAATTTCAAATTCAAAAACAAAAATTTAGAACTACTCTCCAAAATATCAACAACTCTCTAAACTAAAAATTGTTATTCTAATTTTATCGCTTGCTTTTTCTTTCATTTATCTCTGTATGTGTTTAGTTTATTTTATTCATGTTTTTGCTGTCCCTTTATTTTCAAATATTTTAACTTTTATTAATGCTTTTGCTAGCCAATTATTTTTTAATATTTTTAAACTTTATAGCCCAAATCCCTACCAACCACTCGATCCCGATCACATTGCTCCCTCTTAACAGAGGGGAGAAGTAATCAAAATATTTTGTATTTATAGTTTGTCTTCGAACTTCCAATTATCAAAATTTATAAGACCATCATAGGCATTTAAATTGCTGGAGCATTTACAATCGTTATTTTGAAGTTGTAGTATTCTGCTGAGAGGTTGCAGTCAACTGTTCGTCGCAAAATATATTAGGAGACTTCTTCCACATCGAAAACAGACATAAACTACTACACAATTCCTTCATTCACTTTGATCTACAAACAAAATAGCGAAATAAATAACTGTTGGATACGATTGAAAGACCTCTCCAGAAAAATTTCCCGTTCTTTCATAAATGCTGCATAGAACTTTCATCCACTAAGCTGATTTATTGCTTAAAATATTCTCTTTTTTTCATGAACACAATTACGAATTGTGATTTCACTCGAAAACTGCAGATAAATCACCACTTATCAACAGACAAAAAAAACTATTGTGTGATAAATAAAAATGAAAGATATGATATTGTAAGATAAAATACGGAAGTGATGTGATATTATTAACTAACTCGTGATGAAGTTTCAATTTGGATAATGTAAATATGCAATAGAGCAGAAATCAGGTTTTTTTTAATGCTAGTCTCTAGCTTGATATTAGATATTAATACAGAAGTAGATGTGAAAATTTTTTCGAGAGTGCTTTTAAAATCAATTAATTTACTACTGTTCCAACAGTAACGCCATTTTCAATTTTTCAATCAAGTCATCATGTTTAAAACAGAATTTTCAATCGTATGGAAAATCGAAGATTTTTCTTTTTGTCATGAGAAAACTGGTCAATGCTTGTACAGCCCTGACTTCAATATTCCAAGTTTCACGGATCGTGCATGGGGACTTCGTTTATATCCAAGAGGAAAAACTAAAGAAGCAACAAATTTCATTTCCTGCTTTCTATATATGCGGGGATGGGATAGTTTCCCTGCTTTTGATGTTGATATTAAAATACTTGGACCAAGTGGTAAGGTCTTAAAAGTATTACAATTGTATGATAATGAATCGAGCAATAAAGAACATGAATGGGGAAGTGCAACATTCCTTCCAGCCATGGATGTAACTCAAGATGCTCGTAATAGTATTGAAGATAGTCTGACTGTTTGTTGTAAGGTGCATGGTAAAAATCCTACTGCAGATGATTTTGATGAACGCATTGCTCATACTAAAATTGGTGTTGATCGACAGTTAATTAAATGTCACTCTAGGTATAGTGAAGGAAGAATGGTGTTCCACATTTATTCAGAATACTTTAAAAACAAATATTTTAAGTTCTCCATTGCTTCAAAAGATAATAACCTCATTGTATCGATGTGGAAACCACGCAATCGATTTTTTTGGTTTGTGGTTACATGCAAAATAACTATGCTGAATATGAAGAACTATGAAACCTGCTCAGAAACATACAGACATTTCTTCGAGGAAAAAGAATGCACAATAAGAATTCCTTTAGCCATATTTTTAAACGAACTGAAGCGAAACGCTGTAGAATACCAACACTCTGTGATAAAAACTGTTTATTTGACAGCTGAATTCTCTTATTCTAACGGAATGTATACACACTTTATTCCAAATAACAAATCCTTTCGTACCAAAATTCCTTCCATAAAGGATGATCTACGAGCCTTATTTTCTAACAAAAAATTTTGCGATGTGAAATTGCGAGTGGAGGACCAAGTTATCGAAGCCCATAAAAATGTTCTGGCAGCCCGTTCTCCAGTTTTTGCTGTCATGTTTGACCATGGTATGACTGAAACGCAGATGGGCATTGTTGACATTGTTGATACCGATATTCATATTTTGAAGTTATTTTTGCAGTTCTTGTACACGGATACCGTGGAAGAAATGGATTATGAAGTCGCAATGAATCTGTTGATGGTGGCTGAAAAATATCAAGTTCTGTCGTTAAAAGAAAAGTGTTGTATGTTTTTAAAAACTGAAATGTCCATTGAAAACGTGTGTGATATATTTTCTTTGGCTAATGCAGTCAATCACGAATATTTGAAATTAGCTTCTGTAGACTTTATAAATGGGATTCCAGAGAATGTTTTGCAATCACCAAAATTTGAAACATGGAAGAAAAACAATAAGGAATTGGCGAGAACAATTTCCTCTCAATTGTACTTAAATGCGTCTTCACGAAAAGCTAATATGTGCGGTAAGTAATTTAAGAAAAGACATATAAGCTATCTTTTCTTGTTTAATATTTTTTAATTGAATATGAATACAAATCTGTCTGATAAAAAATACCCTTAAGGGTTTTCAAAACTTTGCAAGTAAGTAAACTTTGCTTTTAGAAAATCAAATTACTTTGCAAGTTTTATTGCATTTTTGTTAATTGGTGAAATTTTTTTCTGATTTTAAAACTATGCTAAAATAAGTTAAATTGAATGCTGATTTTGAAGGGCAAACGACATAAAATCTACAATGTTGCTTATGGAATGTATGGAGAAAATAATTCTGGCAAGACTACCAAACTTGTATGGTAAATACATCACTGGTGTAAAGAAATTATAATTCTGTTAATTAAATCAAAATATACACTATTTAAACAATCCAGTTGTACTTAAACCATTTATAATTTTTCTGTTCGTTATGGTAATGGTTTACAATTTTGATTTTCAGAAACATAGTTATTGTTACAGCACGTTTAGCAAAAATACAAACAGAAATTTAAATTTTGCAATTGGGTATACTATAGCCTACGTCACAGGTTGTGTTATTCCTACTAAATTTAACCCATGAACGGCATTTTCTGCGAGCCTAACTTCAAGCCACAAATAAACAAACGAAGTGTTTGATCGTTTAAATAGCTGCTCGCCAGATTTTATTGCATTATAAAGAAAAGCAATTGATATTCGATTTTTGATTAATAATTGATTTATGTGGATAGTGGCATTTATGTGGATAGTGGCATAGAATTTAGCATTGCGTCATGGTAAATGTTATTCCTACTAAATGGAAGTAGTTGTGTTTTGTTTATATTATACCCAATTTAAGTAAAAGTTAAGTTAATGGTTTATTTGAAATGGAACTTTAGTTAAATGGTTCACAAGAGTTAGGAAGTTTTTATTTGTGTATTTATAGAGATTATAAATATGTTATTTATCAATTGTGAGAAAGTGGACATAACTGACGCTTTCAACTTTCAAGCTACTTAACTCGGATAAATAAAATTATACAGACTGTTTATGTATCTGTTATGGGGAAATGGAAATTATTTATTTATTGATTGATTGATTATTTGTAAATACAAAGACAGGATTATAAACTCCATTTTAATCTGAAAAGCAGAGAGCACTAGTTAATGAAACAAGAATATACATCCAGTGTTATAGCGGTATTCGATCTCACTACATTCATGCACCAAAAGCCGTTAACAAGGAGATAGAAAGGCTCCTTGGATATATTGATAGTAGAGCAGCCGTTGATTATTGAAGCTTTGATGCTTTGGAGGATTGTCCATCCACCAAACGCTCGCAGGCGTAAATGTAGTGGGTTCAATAACTTTGTGCTTTTTTCTTATTTTAGTTTTATCTGTTTTTCAATTTAAAAAGACACATCCAGGGATTCGAACTCGTTACCTTCATTTTACATAGGTCCCGCAGTAGACTCATCGTTAAGACACGGTTCCCACCAGATCACCGAAGTCAAGCATCAATGGTTGCTGTCAGTGTGCGGGTGGCTGACCACTTGGATCAGTCTGCGTAGGGACCGAGGGTGTGCGGTATTGGTCCTCCTTAAACTGATCTACCGTAAAATGCTTGATCTCGCTTGCAGGTCGTCGGGCTACCAAAGCAGGGGAGCCATTCGCTCTGCAGAGAAGCAAAATTGTGATATTATGTCTTCGGATCATCTTCAGGGATGTTTCCCAGACCGTCGCCAATAGCCTATTGTGCAGCTTCAGTGTGACGTAAATGAACTACAGCAAAATCATTTTACATAGTCATTTCATGTTCGGCTACACAGATTCCTAAAAAACAAATATTCAAAAAAGTCACTCTTCTATGTATTTATTATTTATTTATTGTTACACATATATATGCAGATTTATGAGCTCATTACAAAGTACGATTTAGTATAAGCTCTAGTTAAGTTCAAAAACAATACAAATTAGAGAAAGACATTGCAACGATGTAACTGTCATAGCAGAGAGGTAACTGATTCGAATCTCACAGTATCCCTATATTTTTGATGCGCTTCTCCCTCTTGTGTTATTTATTGTTTGATAGCCTGCTTATGTATGTGTTACAATAAATAAATATAAGTAAATGTGAATAAATCAATATAAATAAACAAAAATAAATAAATAAATATAAATATATAAAATAAGCAATTGTATATAAATAAATAAAAATAAATAAATAAATGCAAATGTATAAATATAATTATATAGTTGCTACCGGGTATTGGTGGGTCACGAAATCCCTAAATCCATTTAATGATGTTGGAACAGCAAGCCACGTAACATTTAAGCTACTGATTTAACTCAGGTTAATGCTATAAAACATTACTTAAAAATGGGTTATTTTAATAGTTTTTAAAGTTTGTAGACGTCAGCATCTGGCCTTCACAGAATAGGAAAAAAATTAACTGGTTGAAAACAGAGTTAACATGAGTTTGCTAAATAAAATAGAGGTTATGAAACGGACATTTTTTCGTCATCTTAAATATTACAAAAACTGTTGAACTTATCCAATATTTTGAGAAAATTACTTCATTTTACCTTATTCACTACCAAACAGCTTTATAATCAAACCATGTTTTATTTGTGATTTTACTCAANGTCTTCTTTCTTTCAGGAGGTAAATCCATTTAATGATGTTGGAACAGCAAGCCACGTAACATTTAAGCTACTGATTTAACTCAGGTTAATGCTATAAAACATTACTTAAAAATGGGTTATTTTAATAGTTTTTAAAGTTTGTAGACGTCAGCATCTGGCCTTCACAGAATAGGAAAAAAATTAACTGGTTGAAAACAGAGTTAACATGAGTTTGCTAAATAAAATAGAGGTTATGAAACGGACATTTTTTCGTCATCTTAAATATTACAAAAACTGTTGAACTTATCCAATATTTTGAGAAAATTACTTCATTTTACCTTATTCACTACCAAACAGCTTTATAATCAAACCATGTTTTATTTGTGATTTTACTCAAATATATTACCAAAGCACTATATTAGAAATTACCATACTTTTTAGACTTCCCATAGGCCAAGAATAGTTTTTTGATATTTTATTTCTACGATGTCACTGCTAACAGCTCTACCAATCGGCCGGGGAAAATTTCATTCATCATCAGTTGAGTTCATCATCCATAAAATTCATTTGACCATAAAATACATTTTAACATAAAATACATTTTTGCCATAGATTGAATTTAACAGTGAATTGGAATGTACCATATAATTTATAAAAATGGATTAGAAAAATGTATAATAAGGATATTCATTGAAAAACATCACATGTTGAAAAAGAATCTAATGGTAAGAAATTCTAAATTAGGTTGTCATGAAACGTAATTAAAAGTAATCATATCGGTACTCCAAGGAAGTACTTTCAGCCATGACCAAAACATCTTCTGCATATTTTACCGAAACAACCGTTTGTCTTATGAACTTGTTTGCTGATAGGTAAAACTTCGTAGAGCTTATATTGCTCTCAATTGGCGAGGACAGTGATATAAAACATACATGTCTATAACTTAAATTTGACTATAAGTAGGTAAAATAAATTGAGTGACTAAATTGAATGAGTAACTTTTGATAGGTGATTTTTATAATTTCGATATGTGCATCTTTGAAATATTTTGAAAATAATTACAAAGATATAATTTAATAGGCAAAAAGTAAAGAAAAAAAATACTGTGTATGGATTCCATACTAACGACCAGTCTTCTGACCAAGCTATTGCGGCCATATTTCTCAGATTACAGCTAAACCTTATAATTTGAGATGTGCTAAGTCTGGGTGGGAATAATGGAGAGACAGAAAAAAAATTGTCAAGTATTTAAGCAAGTATTTCATCAGCACAAATTGACTAGTTCAAATTCAATCTCCCGAGCTCAAACGCTTTTATTACTAGACATTTTAATCACGGAGAAATTTTTAGGGTTTTTAGTTTTTAATTTTGTACTCTAAATTTCTTTTTCTTTACAGGTATTAGTTAAATTTTGAACTCTGTCTTATGGATACCTTAATTACTTTAGATGTTACTCAATGGAACCTTGAAGCAGTGGCGCGATGTTCATGGAAAGTGTGAAATAATGAAACAGCAATTATGGAACTCACATAACAGTCTAGCAACCTTGACCAATGTTTCCAGAAAC